ACCCTGAGCACCCACTGCCCAGCATGCGGCAGGATGGGGCCAGCTCTGGCAAGGAGGATCGGTGTCCCAGGGGGAGGCAGGCAACTACAGAGTATGGCCACCTCTGCAGCTGAGCATGGTGCAGCAGGGATGTAAATGATGCAGAGCTCCCAGGCTACCACTGAGCCCTGTGGAGAAGAATGCTTGGCACAGGCAGGCACGGGTGGCAGCCAGGGCTTGTAGGGGGGTAGAAAGCACTGGCCCCAAATTATTTACAACCTGGCTGTGAAGGGAAGGGAAGCTGTGTCTGACCCATGGCAACCCCATACCTCTGACAGATGGAGCTATGCTTGTCCACAGCCTAGAAATGAGGACATGAGGAAAAAATTCTTTACTGGAACAGGCTGCCCAGGGAAGTGGTTGAGTCACCATCCCTGGAGGTATTTAAAAGACGTGTAGATGTGGTACTTAGGGACATGGTTTAGTGGTGGGCATGGTGGTGCTGGGTTGACGGTTGGACTCTATGATCTTGGAGGTCTTTTCCAACCTTAATGATACTATGATTCTATGAAATCACACTGTGTGTGTGGCTTTTCCATTGACAGACAGCTCTTTCTTTGCTCCCAATATTCCTAGTTAGTTCTCCCTCCTTTTCCTCCTATTTCATCTCAGATGAGATGCTGCTGCGGACAGCGATGCTGTCTGCACTGCACACATCACCGAATCCTTGCTCTTGGTTCTGGAGGTCTCTGCGAGGCCATGGGCACACGTGGGTCCACAGCAGCAGTAGTGCTGCAAAGCCTGCTTGAGATACCCACAAGACCAGACATCTTTCTGACTCGAGGCTCTAGGTTGAACAGCAAACGGGGTGTCAGGGTCCCTCCCTTGTCCTTCTCTCTTCACCCCTGCAGGGGGATGGGGAAGAGGACAGGAGGAGCAGCAGCAGCTCTGACTGTGACTTGGAGGGGGTAACCACATCAACAGCTCTGTGCTGGGACCTGGCTGGCCCAAGGGATTTGCACCTGGAAACCCCTGTGTGGGTGCTGGTTGTGGGTGCTATTGAATACCTACGGGTACCGGGGGATGGGAAACAAAACACCCAGCACTCCCCTCATATGATGTCCCTTTTCTTTTTGTTCCTGTCCCAGGACCATGGCAGTGACAAGAACGATGAGAAGGAAGACAAAGATTAGTCTTTCCGTGCCGGAGCAGCAGTGCATGCCCTGGGCACGCCGAGGAGGTGGGGATGCAAATGGCAGCACGTGCTGGAGGGGGCCTGGGCCACTTTTAGCCAAATAAAGGTGTTTGCGGGCTCCAAAGAGAAATGCTATTTATTCATCCAGTCATGCTGCCTACCCAGTCCTATCTGTCCCTCCTGAGAAGGAAACAGCCGAGGAAAGGCAATAGGCAGGGAGCCGGGATCTGGGCGAGTACAGGCAGTTTTTGCTCAAGACCATGAAAGAGTCTGGAGAGAAATCCAGGGGCTCTGGCTGCCTGGGTTTGCATAGTCCCCCAAAATTAGGTAGTACCAATGTCCTCCCTGTCTCCTCCACGTTGCTTCCTATGGGATGGAGCAGCCTGAGCGGGGACAGGCGGGCTGTGCAAAAGGCGGCTCCAGACGCCTGGGGCTGTGCTGAGCTGTTAACAACTGACTGCGATTTCAAATTTATCAAAAACATACGAAAAGCAGTTACAGGCGAAAAAAAGCCCCCCCACCCCTCCCTTTCTGCGGTGCTGCCCCCAGCGCAGGGGGTTGAGCGTGTGCGCAGCCCGCAGCCCCGCCGTAGCCCGCCTGGGGCTGGGACCGGGCGCAGCGCCCGG